ATTCATTCATATATTTATTCAACTACAAAGCATGAGATATTACAAATAAGCAATCACAATTTACTATGCAGTTTTGCCCCGCCTAACCAGGGTTGGTTGTTTTGAGTGGTCCTCTTAATTAATTTAATCTTGTATAATTGACAACAAAAAAATCTTAATTTAATTTCAGATTCTCTCTCATCCATGGTTGACATCTAGAAATCAACCAACTACTCATTTAGTCTACCAGGATTCACATCTTCTCAAGGTAAAGTTTACCAGTAATCAATCAATCGACAGCACTCAACTCACATCAAACATTTAAAAATGATTGGGCTAATAAATTTGCATGCAGAGAATACAGGGTTTTCTGATTATTTTGTCAGAGGTGTATATTATCTTTAAAAAATCAATCTCCCTCCCCCTTTCCTCTTTGAAAATCATATGAAAAAACCTGCCTTGTGATGTCCAATTTCAATTTTTGAAATGTTCGTCTTTACCCAACACCCGCCCACCAAGGGGGGATGTGATTTTGTTTATTATTTGGCATTATTGCAAGGAGAAAATTCAATTTAAATTATTGAAAAGAATCAGTTACGTGACAAGAATTTTTTTTAGAGATTTATTCAAATTTTCATTCAACTCGTCTTGATCTTTTTATTTTTCCTTTTTTGATGAATTGATTTCGCTTTTGTACCAGGGAGCAATGACAGCAACCTTTCAAGCGTTGAGAAACCAAAGTCCTCTGGTGCCAAAAGTAGGAAACGTAGGTAAGTACTAAGCTGAGAAAATCGGGTTTAAATTCCTTAGATCCATGATTAAAGCTTTATCGTAGACCTAACTCTAAAATCAGCGAACGACAGCTTGTGTCAAATGATTAACACCGGCCACCCCTTAGACTCAACTTAATGATCAAAATAAAACTGATCTTGGTTGGTTAGGCTCAATGTTAAGTCTTGATCTAATCAAATCCCGAATTCCGTAAAATACAATATTAAACCAGGTTTATAAATCTTAACTGTGGAAAATTAGTTTGAACTTTTCTTGATCCCTTGTCGTGCTAAGGATTGAGTTAATTACTCTTAGATATCTTGGGATCAGGGATTACTGAAAATGAGAGATCAAGCACATAATTCTAAAATTAAAAAAATGTTGAAGTAAATATTGAGATCAGTGTTGGCCATTGTACTATTAAATTATTTTAGGAATGTCCGAGTTAGCTCGGCGTAGAAAGAGATCAAAACCAAAGAACGAAGATGGATCAACTTCCACTCCAGTTTAAACCTTGGTGAATAACCTCCAATCCAGTTTAAACCTTGGCTAACAACCTCAATGCAGTTTTAACCTTGGTTAACAACCTCCAATCTAGTTTAAGCCTTGGTTAATAACCTCCAATCCAGTTTAAACCTTGGTTAACAACCTACAATCCAGTTTAAACCTTGGTTAACAACCTACAATCCAGTTTTAACTGTGGTTAACAACCTCCACTCCAGTTTTAACCTTGGTTTACAGCCTCTACTCTAGTTTAAACTTTAGTGACCTTGGTTATGCCATCCGAGGCGCTAAATTTTACCCATTTGTGTAATTTCTTGATTACTAGTAGGGAGGCGTTTTAATTAAAACTTTTGGGACAAGTTTCAAGATAAAAATAATAAGGAAAAGAGCTATGTAGTTCAAAGAAAACATAATATTTTGTTGTATTTAGAGGATGTCTATAATGTTTTAAACTGTTTGAAGGGCTATTTTTGAAAAACTTTCAAAAATTTTGAATTATGTTGTACTAAATGTTAAATACTCTAAAAACTGCTATGAGCTAAAAAAAATACTTTTGTCAGAAATATTCGCCAAAATGTTGAAAATGATTTTAACAAATGAATTGTATAAACCGATGTCGGTTATGAATTTTCTCGAATTTTTACAGATTATTTGCGAATTTTTAAGAAAAATTTTCCCGAATTTTACAGATACATGTACCCGCATTTTTAAAGCTATTTTTTCGCAGATTTTTGCCAAACCATTTTTTCCTTTTTTAACCATAGAAAATTGAATGCATTTTCTTCTCAGTATTATTGTACCGTGTAGCTTGTGTATGTACTCTACATTGTTGTACTCTCTAACCCCCCGGTGTCAAGTAATGTGAACTTTAATAAATATTTCTTAATGTTTTTGTTACATGAAACCTCAATAGAATTTTGATATTCCGCCCCGCCTCTTAACAATCCATCAATAGTAGTCTTAATATGTAGTAAATATATTAGCCAATGTTAATTTTGATAGCACCCAGCACATACTAATTCTTTTTCAGAACTTGTTTTTACACCCGTCCCATGTTATTATTTGAAATTATTACTTTTTAACTTGCAGCCATTTTGATTTTCCAGGATGTGGATTTCAGATATCTTACTTAGTCTGTACTCATTGTTGAATTTGTGAGGGTTTCCCCTTTATCTGAAATCAAACTTAAGGCTGAACATATAACATTCTAATTATTACCAAGACTGCCAACCAACAAATGACAGCATTGTTAGCTGCTAAAATGTTTTTTTTATGTCATATCTAAAGTCAAATCTTACCAAAAAATAATACTCCTAATTTAGCTTTATTGAACTTTGTGCCAAAACCTATCGTTAACTTGCATCAAACTGGGCAGCTCATTTATTCCTTGATTGTGATTTAGTTTTACATTTGATATTTATTTATTTAATAATTAATTTTTTTTTATTTATTTAGTCTGGTGAAATGTAATACTTGTGCTGGGTAATTTGTGATATTGTGCATCTCTAGATGTTGTAATTCAGGATATTTCATAAATATACGACTCATATGTTTTATTTAACCCAGTCTTTTTATTTGTTAATGTTAAAGTAGTAAAGCAATAGTAAAATAGAAGTTAAATGTATTAATTTACTATAATGGTAAATATTTGAATTAAGAAAAATGTATAAATTAAGATTAAATATATAAATAATGGATAAATGTATAAATGAAGGATAAATGTAAAAATGAAGGGTAAAGTTATAAATGATTGATAAATGTATGAATAAAGGATGAATGTATAAATAAAGAATAAATGTATAAATAAAGGATAAATGTAAAAATGAAGGGTAAAGTTATAAATGAATGATAAATGTATGAATAAAGGATGAATGTATAAATAAAGGATAAATGTATAAATGAAGGATAAATGTAAAAATGAAGGGTAAAGTTATAAATGAATGATAAATGTATAAATAAAGGATAAATATATAAATAAAGGGTAATACATAAATTAAGAATAGATATAGAAATGAAGGATAAATGTTCAAATAAAGGATAAATATAAGAATAAAGGTTTGATATATAAACCAAGAATAAATGTATAAGTAAATGTATAAATAAAGAATAAATGTATTTAAAAAAAGGATAAGTGTATAAATTAAGGATAAATGTATAAATAAAGGATAAATGTATAAATAAAGGATAAATGTATAAATAAAGGATAAATTTATAAATAAAGGATAAATGTATAAATAAAGGATAAATGTAAAAATAAAGGATAACGGTATTAATGAAGAATAAATGTATAAATAAAGGATACCGGTATTAAAGGATAAATGTATAAATAAAGGATAAATGTATAAATAAAGGATAAATGTATAGATAAAGGATAAATGTAAAAATAAAGGATAACGGCATTAATGAAGGATAAATGTATAAATAAAGGATAAATGTATAGATCAAGGATAAATGAAGGGTAAATGTATTAATAAAGGATAAATGTATAAATAAAGGATAACGGTATTAATGAAGGATAAATGTATAAATAAAGGATAAATGTATAGATAAAGGATAAATGAAGGGTAAATGTATTAGTAAAGGATAAAGGTATAAATGAAGGATAAAGGTATAAATGAAGGATAAATGTATAAATGAATGATAAATGTATAAATGAAGGATAAATGTATAATTAAAGGATAAATGTATAAAAAAGGATAAATTTATAAATGACGAATAAATATATAAATTAAGAATAAATGTATTAATGTTTGAATAAAAAATGAGAAGGTGAGAATGTTTAGTAAAAAGATAGCTTCGAGGCTGATCCATGTCGCCTCTCTCAACCATTCGTAATTCTTCAATCTTAGTTTTCTACCAACCTCTGCTAGGTTTAGAAGTCTCGATAGTCCTCTTAATTCGTCTTTTATATTTATATTAATATTCTATTAGCTTTTTTTTACATCTGATCTTTTCTTTCCGCTGATATTTAAGAAGTGTTCATCTATCTTTTCACTTTTTTAATATGCAGTGTGTACTGTATGAGGGAGGGAACCCCCGGACGCTATGAGCCTCCCAGACTTGCTAGGGAGACCGAGCCTCAGCTATGTAGTAATGAGCATGCGCAATACATCAAGATGTGCCTGTGTAATACAGGAGGTATTTTAAAACTTGTGTTTAAGTTTAAATTAAAGAATTTACTAATTTTTCGACAAAGTGGGATGAGAGGTTCTTAAATATGAGAAGTATTTATCAATTATTATAAATTTTGCCTAATTTTGACTAATTAAGTGGTATTTAAAACTTCAAATATTTTTTACATGAAAAGTTAAATATTTAGAGAAAAAATTTGAATTGAATTTCATTTTATCTTTTATAATCTTTTACTTAAGCGATACCTTTCTTTGTAGTTAAATTTAAATCTAGAAAATTTGTATCTTTTATTTAAATCTAAACTGCAGTTTTTAAAAAGGTAAAGTTTTAGTATAATATTATAAACCACCACTTCATGAGTTCATATATGTTTCTTATCATGACAATCAATAAATGACTCTAATCTTATAAAATTCTTAAGCCACTATGTATAAAAATCGTAAAATTATCAATACACAAAAAAAACGAGATTTTTACAAATCTGTACTGAATGGTGGAGGCTTGTTTACTGCATAATGCAGACACTGTCTGCATAGCGTATGCTTTGTCTTAATAATGGAGGCTCAGTCAGCCTAGGAAATCTGGGAGGCTCATGGCGCCCAGGTGTCCCCCCCCCCAGCTGTATAGTCCTTTTCTTTTCTTCCAGTTTAGTTCAACATATGCTTTATCCTTGCTCATTTTTAGTTTCATTTTGTAATATTTCATATGTGAACATTTTCTCTTAAGAAATTATAAAACAAAACGAAACCAAATCGCGGATTTGAAAAAAAATCGTGGATTTTCAATACTTACATAAAAAGAATTTTGTTAAAAGCAAGAAAATTTTTTGAAAATTCGATCATCCTTAAACCTTCCCTGGGGTCANAAGGATACTAGAGAATTAGGAGAAAGATACTAGAGAGTTCCTCAAATAGTAATCACCGCCACCCAAATCTGTTTTGCGGCAAGCGCGCTCCTCAATTAGTAATCACCGTAAAATTTTGTTTTCTGTGATTTGAATTTAATGCACTTTTAACACTTCTGACACTTTATATACGTCTACTGTACTGTAGTGTATATACCCTTTACAGGACTGGTTTCCAAGTCTTGGTTATTGTTTACCATGAATATATTCTATTTATTTATTTTTTGGCTAATTGGTGGTTGGAAAATATTGAGAAGAGAGGGGCCGGAAGTTTGTTTGTCTTTTGTCAGGTTTACATAGCGGAGGGCGGGGATGCAAGTCGCAACCATTCTTGGTCCAAGCCTCATTTTTTCGTCAGAGCCGCTTACGTGCATCCCTTCATACCCCTCAACATTTTAACATTTAAACAAAATGTATTAACACTTACCAATGTTTCTAGATTTATTTTTGCTTGTTTACTGTTTTATCTAGACTTTTTTTAAGAAATCCGCGGAAATATAATTTAAAATCTGCTTTGTGTACACAAAATTAACAAAATATGAACAATCTATTTGCTGATGACACTAGTTTTCTAAAATCATCTCCACATATCGAAACTTTAGTAATTGATGCGAACTTTGAACTAAAAAAGGCAGCTGCATGGTTTCAGGCAAACCGTTTAACACTAAATGTTTCCAAAACAAAGTTTATGTTATTTAGGAATAAAAATATGCATTTTGATCCTGAGAACTGCAAATTAAAAATTGGAAATGAGATACTAGAAAGAATAGGAACTGACTGTACAAATAAATATTTCAAATTTGTTGGACTCAAAATTGATGAATTTTTAAATTGGGACTATCAAATTGAACATGTTTCCAATAAGATTGCTAGCTCAATTTTTGCTCTGAATCAGATTAAAAACATTTTACCGTTAAACATTCGTCTACTAGTCTATAATGCACTTGTAAGGCCACATATTGAGTATGGAATTATAACATGGGGGGGTGTAAAAAATGCTAAACTACAGAAAATCAAGTCTTTGCAAAAAAGGGCAATTAGAGCAGTAAATAATAGTTCATTTAAGGCACATTCAGATCCAATATTTTTCAGATTAGAACTCCTAAATCTTGATGATACATATAAACTAGGTGTTCTATCTTTTATGCATAAATACTTTTATGAAAACCTTCCAGCTTCCTTCCAGGATATGTTTAATTCTTTAGCTGAACCAAATAGAACAAAATCATATAAACTTGAGCGAGTTCTCTTTAAAACCCTAGAAAGTTTTCCCTCTGCCTTATTTCCAAAAATATGGAATTCTATTGAATTAGAGCTTAAAGAAACTAAATCTGCAAAATCGTTCAAAAGAAAAGTCGCCAAGATCTATTTAGATAGTTATGCAAATTATATCTGTAAAAAAAAAACTGTGTATCATGTGGATAAACTTAGTCTTTACTATCTTCTTCACCCTGTAGTTCATAAACATGATTCTAATAACTTATGTTACCCTCTGTTCCAACCCTTACGCTGAGTATCCTCCCTTTTCTTTATACTCCCTCACCTCCTCCTTACCTTTTACCTGATTTATTATCATTCTTATGTTTAAAATGTACAATGTACATTGTTTTTATCTGCAATTCTAATTCGTTTATAGTGGGCCAACCAATTAAAAAAACCTACTCTGGTTAGGCGGGTTCAAACTACATAGTAAATTGTGATTTTTTATTTGTATTATCTCGTGCTTTGTAGTTGAGCAACAAATATAATAGCCGTAAAATCTTGGTTTTAAATTATAATATTAGCCCCTTTTTCTAAGTTCAATTTAAAAATGAAAGCTATCAGCATCCTAATATTATCAAGTTTCAGAAAATTCTTCGGATCCGAAACATCTGATATGTCTATTGTTAACAACTTTTAATCAGGGAATAAAATAAAGGGAAAGAAAATGGCGCTGGTCTGGCATGAGAAAGCCAGTCGCACTGCTTTGCAAACGGATTCCTAACTACCCAGCAAGACAACGGACATCAAATTAATGTAAAAACGTACCCAGTTTAATCTTAATAGACCAGGTCTACACCTGAGTCTGGGTCCATGTTGACCGACTGGTCAGTCTGCACTGTAATATGTGAATCAGGTAAACCGCTGTGATCTTCTTCTTGTCTCAGCTGTCTTGTTCTTGGGTTTATAACTCATCATTACTTTGACATCAGATAAACAGCTAGGAGGGGGAGAGGGGGGGGGGTAAATAACCCCAATAACCCCCCTTATGGCAGCCACTGAGGGGGAGGGTTTTCAACTCTTCCAGGTGTAATATTTGCAATCGTTCTACTTAAACATTGGTTAATTCCCCAGATTAGGATTAACTTCTCAACACTGTCTTCATTCCTTAATAAAAAATAATAGAGTAATAAAGAAAAATAATCATCAATACATTTATATGTATTTACATATAATATGATGTGTGTAAATTGTATCATAGATTGCCTGATAGGATGTCATGTTGTGAAAATCTCATTTAGTTTCCTGAAAAAAAGATATAGAAA